GCTCCCAGGTGCCGAGGGAGCTGGGCAGGGGGCCCGGCCCCAATTGATTGCCTGCAGGCGGGATAGTGGAGCAGGTGAGGGGGCAGTGCCAGGCCAAGGCGGGGTGCCAGGCAGGGCTGCAGAGCTGCGAGGCTGGGGGCGTGAGCTGGGGCCCAATCTCCACAGCCACCCCGAGGGACCCCACCTGTGCACGAATTCGTGTACTAGGCCTCTAGTTTTTAAATATTTATGTATTCCATTTGTTATTGCTAGTAGATAGAAATGATGTTTGATCCCTGTACGTTGATCTTGTGTCAAGCAGCTTTGAATAATTCTCAGTTCTCTTGGATTCACATCATAAATGATCATAGTGTTTGTTAAAATGGCAATTTTGTGGGTCTCTAATCTTACTGTGTCTCATGCATAGCTTGTCTAACTGCAAGAACTTAAGAACATTGTGAAATAGTAGGGAGAAGTAGCTTCTCTCCTCTGGTCCTAACCTTCATTAATTGAGCAGTTTACTGAATACCTACCATCTGCCAGGCACTGTTCTAGTTTTTGGTGTTTAGTAGTGAACAAAATAAAGTACTGCCCTCATGGAGCTTGCATGGGCAAAGCAGTGTTGCTGTCTCATTTAGGGAGATCGGAGAAGACCTCCCTGGTAAGGTGATTGGAGCAGAAACCTGAAGGGAGCAAGAGGTCTTAGAGATCTGAAGATCAGATGTAATTGCAGGGGCAGAGAATCCTATTGTGGGCAAATGATGGACATGTTCCAGGCCTAGGGAAGGTGGCCAGTGTGGCTGCAGCAGTGAGCAGGAGCGACCGGTGAGGTGGAAAAAGGCAATTAGAACCCAACTGAATGAGGGTTTTAAGAAGGTCAACTGTGTGCTGCTGATGCTGAGGGGCATCACTGCAGAGTGAGAAAGTGGGAGGAGGCTTAGGAGAAATCTGTGTGAGGAGAAATCTGAAATGGTCCTCCGAAGAGTGCAGGGGCACTGAGGGAAGGTTGCAGAGGGAGAACTGGAGTGGGGCAGGCTTAAAACTGGAAAGGTTCATCTTTCCTTTCCCTTTGACTGCTTTTTAAGAGTTCCTCTTTGTCTTTGGTTTTACTGTAAATAAGTGTGGATTTGCTTTGGATTCATTTGAATTCCAGACTCTGAGGACTGGTGTCAGCCATTTCTGGAAAATTCTAAATCATGATCTCTTTGAATATTTTTCTTCCATTCTCTCTATTCTCTTCTTTTAGAATGCTGATATTCTCCCTCTCTCTTCCAGGCCTCTCAATTACTTTCTTCATTATAGTTTCTCTTTAATACATGTAACTTTTATTTCTTAAAAAATAAGGTACCCTGCCCTAACTGGTTTGGCTCTGTGGATAGAGAGTCGGCCTGCGGACTGAAGGGTCCCAGGTTCGATTCCGGTCAAGGGGCATGTACCTTGGTTGCAGGCACATCCCCAGTAGGGAGTGTGCAGGAAACAGCTGATCGACGTTTCTCTCATCGATGTTTCTAACTCTCTATCCCTTCCTCTCTGTAAAAAAATCAATAAAATATATATATTTTTAAAAATAAGGTACCCAAGTGCAGTCTTATGGTTAGGAATTCAAGACTTTTTTTTTGTATTCCCACTCTACTTTAGACCAAGCCAGGCACATCCTGCTATCTCCGGCAAGGGGGAGGGGTACTCATTTTATTTTCAGCAGCTTAGCTATTCATTTAATCAAGCAGTTTGAGTGTTTTGCATTGTTTACCGTGGCCTACCTGGTTTTCAGCAGGGTTTATTCATGTGCTGCTTGTAGCGTAGCCCTTGTTTCTGTGATGACCTAGTTCCAGAGCTCATGTTTTATCTCTTTCTATTGTCTTGCATCTGTTGGGAGCACCTCAATCTCTGCTTTGAACTACTGTTTTCACATACTTAGAACTAAATGTCATATTTTTCATCTACTCCCTGGCAACAATTTTCTGGTGAATGTTAATTTGCCACTTGCTGTTCCTATAATACCTCTGTTTAGCTCCTGTGTTGGTTCCTCTTGTCATTAGCTCATTATGGGAGGGCTGCTTACCATGCAAAGACCTCCCCTGCCTGGGTGCTGAACCAGGTTCAGGAAAGCCCTGCTACAGTCCACATCCCCTTTCATTTTAAATAAGAGATTATTGGCCTCTCCTCTCAAGGTGTGCTACTTTGGAGAACTCAAAACTGTCACCAATATCTGAGACCTTCAACCTCAAGACCTGTCCCGGTGTGGCTACCAGTGCATGGTCATTTGGCAGCAGTTCACATTGTGCTCCAGGTTCTATCAGATATGATTTGCATTTCCACTTCTTGTTTACTCTGTTTTGCTTTCAGGGATTTCTGAGAGGAATGGGAGGTAGTATTTCTTCAGGCCACCACTTTAAAGTCACACTAAAAGATCAACCTGTATTCCTGGCTAACTCTTCTTTTGGGAGTCTGTTTGCCTATATCTTATTTAAGACTTTTACATTTATGTTCATAATGAAAGTGATCTGTTCTTGGCATGTCCTATCTGCTGTCAGGGCTCCTGAAATTAGTTGTGTCATTTTCTATCTTTACTTACTCTTTGGAAGAGTTTGAATATAAGACGGGGATTATCTGTTCCTTGAAGGTTTTGTAAAACCTCATCTGTAGCCCTAGCCAGTTTGGCTCAGTGGATAGAGCGTCAGACTACAGACTGAAGGGTCCCAGGTTCGATACCGATCAAGGGCACTTGCCTGAGTTGCGGGCTCGATCCCCAGTAGGGGGCGTGCAGGAGGCAGCCAATCAATGATTCTCTCTCATCATTAATGTTTCTATCTCCCTCTCCCTTCCTCTCTGAAATCAATAAAAATATATTTTTAAAAAACAAAAAAACCTCATCTGTAAAACTACATAGGCCTGGTTTCTTTTTCTGGAAAGATTAAGTTCCGCTTCACTGTTTGTGTTTTTTTGCTTCACTTTTTAAAAACAGTTATTTACCTAATCAGATTTTCTATTTCTTCTTGAGTCTATGAGAGTAATTTACATTTTTCTGGAAAAATTTTCCACTTAAACTGTTTTCAAATTTATTGCCATAAAATGGAGTTCATTTTTATGTATTGTTTGCATTTTTCACAAAGACCAACTGCCATCTATAATAATAATAAAAGCATAATATGCTAATTAGACCAGACGACCTTCCAGACGAAGCTGGGGCTGTGAAGGCCGAGGCAAGAGCCCCTTGCACGAATTTCGTGCATTGGGCCTCTAGTCACTTAATAATGACTGGTATCGCAAGATGGGGCAGGGAGATGGAAGCTATGACCCTGTCCTGCCTTCCACCCAGGAAACCTGTGCTTGGCTCAGTCGGTCTATTCCACCTTCTCTTTCTCAGTCTTAGGAAAAGTCCTCAGTGCTGTGGGCAGTGCCCAGCTACTGATGTCCCAGAAATTCCAGCAGTTCCGGGGCCTCTGTGAGCAAAACTTGGTGAGTGTGATTTTTTCTTACTCCACAGCAGGGCTTCTAGCCTTTGGCAGCCTGCCAGCTCCCTCAGCTGAATTAACCCCTCTGAGCCTCTGTGACCTCCTTGTGGCAATAGAAAGGTGATGACAGTGCCTAGCACAAGAAAGGGGCCAGGAGTGGTCTTTTCAGATCGCTAAACCTTTTGAAACAGAAAACTGATATAAAAATAGCCAATGAAAGTTAAAGTTCAGTTAGCATTGATTTATTTATATTAGGCATATTCTACATCTAAGAAAACAGTCAAGGTAAGAAATTTTAAAATATCACCACTAGGCTTGATGGGTTTCCCTCTCCCTCACCCCTTCCTGATGGGAGTGTAAAAACCTCTCTCCAACTCGCCAAAGGGGCTGTACTCCTAGAGGTAGAGGGCAATGTCAGAGTGTTCATCTCCAGGACCTGTAGGGGTTTGGCTTGGACAGTCATGATGAGGAACATGTTGTCAGAGAACAAAATGATGGGAGGGATCCTGGCTTCTCCCCACCTGACTGTGAGACCATGCCAGGAACTTCTGTTTTCTCCCTGTAAAATGAGAACTGTTGTTGGCCTGGCATGCATTAGGGGCAGGAGGGCCATCCTCACTGCAGCCCTACCGTGGTGGCAAAGGCCTCAGTCTCCCATGTATGTGCAGAGCCTACTCTCATGATAGGACTTGCTCTTTCTCCCAAAGATGATCACCATCAGGGCTGGTAGTGACCAGGAACTATGCCGGGCGCACTGGGGCTTTGGTCTCTTCTCCGCGTCTCGCACGGAGGGGGAGACGTGAACCTGCTTGTACAAGTTAGGAGGTGCTTTCAGGATTAAAGAATAATGAAAGACAGACATAAAATTAGATGAAAAGCTTGGGCTGCGTGTGATGTCTGCCCTCTGACTCGAGACACAGAGAGAGCCTGCCCTCTGATGGAGGGACAGACACAAAGAGTGCAAGCTGTTTATTATATACTCGAATTACAGGAAGTTACATCACATCTGGGTGGGCCTTCGGCATCATGAGATCCATCCCCTTACCACTGGGCGGGAGAGTCAGACTGAGTGGCGTCCAATCTCTTGACTGGGTTCCGCCTTCAGGGCGTGGCTTTGCCCTCACTTAATTTCAGCTGACGTAAACTAAGCCAAATTAAGCCAGAGTGTTTACTAACGGCCCTTAACAAAGAACTACCTTAATTCACTCATGCAGATACTGACCCTGGGAATAGGAGAGCAAGACTAGAACCCAAGAGACCCCAACCGTGGCTGGGGTGCAGGACATGTCTCTGCCTTGCTTGTCCCACTGATAACGCTCTGCCCCACAGAACCCTGACGCCAACCCACGTCCAACAGCCCAGGACCTGGCAGGGTTCTGGGACCTGCTACAGCTCTCCATCGAGGACATCAGCATGAAGTTTGATGAACTCTACCATCTCAAGGCCAACAGCTGGCAGCTGGTGGAGACGCCCGAGAAGAGGAAGGTGAGCATGGAGCAGTGCGGAGGGGAAGTCCAGGGACAAATTCCTGGTCGGCAATAACGCTGCCCACATCGGTCAGTGCTGCTTGGCTCCCTTCTCCATGTGTCGTCTTTGAGCTGGGGGCTCACGTCCATCCATGCGTGGGGTCCATGCTCAGCACTTGTCCAGCATGCTGCTCTCTCTGTGTAGTGAGGCTGCCCTCTGAAGTATGCCACTGCATGTTCAGAAAATGGGGCTCCTTGGAGTCGTGCCCACAGCCTTGAACACTAGAATAGGCTGTTGAAACTCCAGAGGCAGAAAAAAGGTCCTTCTCCTGGGGCTACGCAGGAGTATACCAGAGCCAGCTCTTCCCTGAGGCCCAGGTTCTTCTGTAAAACAGCAGAACCAGTGACCCTATGGTGACTGGACTGTGCTTTGTAAGTTCTGACCCCCTAGAATAGCATGTGGCCTGAGAGTTGGAGGCCCTGAATTTAATCCCATCTCTGGCTGTGACTCAGATCATTCCTGCCTGAGTCTCAGGATCCAATGGTTCAGAGCAGGGGTGGAAAAGGTCACCTGTCTATCCCTTCCTGCTGGAACATTCTAGGATTCTAAGCTTGCTTTTTGCTCCTATGCCTGTGCTATTCCCACTATCATTGCTTCTTGTGGCTTCCTGATTCCAAATGTGTGTTGCTTGTGCCCCATGCGGGGAGGCTGGGGTGGAGACTACAGCTGCCAGCATATAGGGAGTGGTAGTGCCACACCAAAGGTGGCACCTTTATTTTATTTCTCTTCCCTCCTCACTGTCTCACTAAAGGAAGAAAAGAAACCACCCCCTCCGGTCCCAAAGAAGCCAGCCAAATCCAAGCCGGCAGTGAGCCGCGACAAGGCCTCTGACACCGGGGACAAGCAGCGTCAGGAGGCGCGCAAGAGACTCCTGGCCGCCAAGCGGGCAGCTTCCGTGAGGCAGAACTCGGCCACAGAGAGTGCGGACAGCATCGAGATCTACGTCCCTGAGGCCCAGACCCGGCTCTGAGACCAGGAAGCAGGAAGCCAACAAGTTTCAGTCATTTAAAAAAAACCACACAAACTAAATACGAATGGAACAAAAATTTTCTCAACCTTTAGTATGGTTATTCTATCTAGAGACCCTGAGCCAACTTTCAAATTGATGCATACAAGGGCTCACAATTTGGCTTTTTTGGGTCCCTCCCAGCTTTAGGTTATGAAGACTTCACACACAAAAAAAGTCAACAAAAACACAAAACTATAAAACTTTCTTTCCTCTTGCTGGCCGTGGTGGACTAGATGGAGGGACTTCAGCAACGCCCGGCCCAGCCTGCAGGTTGCAGTCTTTTTACTTGTTCTGTCTAATGAGAACTTAAACGAGCTTGTTTACAAGACGACAGTCCAAGGGCAGCCTTGGGCACCTGCCATGTCCTTCCTTTCCCAGCTACCCTCACGCTGACCTCGGAGTTTTCATTCTTATGTTTCTTTCCCTTCAGAGCTCACACAGGGGTCACCATCCCGGCTGGTGGCTTTCTGGGTCTCAGCCCTCTTTGCGGGGGAGAACCCAGAGGACAGAGAGATGGACACACGTTCCCTCCCCACCAAGTGCTCACACACAGTCACACATGTGCACACACACAGATGTAGGTTCCTCTCAGCAGAAGCAACCCCCATCCTGTGATCTGCCAGCCCTCAAGCAGGCGATGCATCTCCCTGAAAAGATGAGGAGGATTTAAGTCTTTGGGAGGGAAATGAGATAAAAGCTACAGTATCACATTCCAGACTCCTGCCTTTTTCTTCTCTCCAGCCCTTCTTCTTCCAGCAAAATGTATGGCTCAGTGACTCACAGAGGACACTTGAGAGAGGGACCCCATTTGTCTGTCCCTGGCCAAGCCTGTGTACAGTCCCCGGGGGGGCAGGCGGCTGTGTCTGTAGTATGTGTACATATGCACATAGACCTTAGAGTGTATATTTAACAAACACCCATCTGCTCACCCATGCCCACCAGCGCCACCGCTGGCTCTTGGGGCACCTGGCAGGAGGCAGGTGTGTGAATAGCATATATTTTTACATGTACTATATCTAGGTGTGTGTACAAGTGTGTGTAAAAATATATACTTTGTGTGTAAGCAGCCTTTTTTTTTTTCCGTCTCCCACCTGCCCAGCCTCTAAGTTTTCTGTTCTTTTTTTTTTTTTTTTTTTTTTTTTTTTTTTTACCCTATCCACCCTTCTTTTTCCCCTGCCCCCTAGCCCCACTCCCAGGGTGTCATGAGCCCTGAGCTGCAATGGCCCGGGTCTGTGGGGAGGGGTGGGGAGGGCAGGAGGAGGGGAGGGCGAGGCCCAGCCTGCAGCAAGCTCAGTGCACAAGGGCTGCTCTCCGCCGGGTGTAGGCTACAGCACTGGAGACGTCCTCGTGTCCAGCACTTGCTGCAGGGGCCCTGGGTGAACTGAGGGCCTGTTCTGGGGCCCCATCCCAGCTTGGCCACTGTCTGTGACCTTGGGCAAGTCACTTGACCTCTGTGTGCCTCAACTTCCTCCTCTGTAAAATGGGGACAGTCCCTGCCCCTCCCTACCTCACAGGCATGTTGTGAGAATAAATGAGGTAACGTGTACCAAGGGCTCATGGTGTTATTGTGGTGGGTGGGCTAGGCTGGGAGAAGGCGGGGGGAGTAGACTCCCCAGAAGACAGCCAGACTCCCTCCCAAACGGCAGCTCCATGAAGACAACAGGCCTGGGCACAGGCCGTGATTCCAGCTGTCAATCACCAGCTCCATGATCCTGGGCAAGAAAATCAAGTTCTCGATTTCCTCACCTGGACACGTGTATAGCATCTATCTTACCGGCTTCCTCTGAGAAATAAATGCATAATAGCTGTTGTATGGGAACCAAGATGGGCTGCCCTCACTAACAACCAGACCCAACTCTGCATATGTCCTGGGACGGGGTACTCGATACCCCCACCCCCACAGCTGCCTCCACCCTGACAATGCACTGAACGTGCTTCCCGAGGAGTTCCTCTACCAGGCCCAGTGCCCGCAGTTCATTCAGAGCTCACACTCTGGTGGGGAGACAGACACTGAACCTGCATCCAAGTCTACAGCAGGTGGTAGCAAGCTGTGGGGACCCGCAATGGCACCACCGAACCTGCCTGGCCAAGAGCACTCTGGTCAGCTGGAAGGACGTGGGTGTTCACTAACTTCTGCGGACAGGGATTCTAGGCAGAAGGATGGGAGGCTCTGATGCCCTGTGGTGAGAACATGCCTTTTAGAAAGGCCTGGGGCAGGCTAGGTTGCAGACACCTGGTCTCCCAGTGACTCAGGCCCAGAGGATGCACAGAGCGACCTTCCCAGGAGCTTTACTCAGGCGGCCACCCCTCCCCGGTGGGGCCTCTCAGAGCTCACCCAATCCTGTGGGCCAGACCCCTCGTGCTCGGAATGCGTGCTCTCATCTCTGGACCCTGTTAGTGACGCTGAGCAGTGACCATGGGTAGCTCTGATGTACTAGAACTGGAGCCTTCATGGGCCTACCCCTACCCTGAGATGTAGCTGGGGGTGACTTAAAGGGTAAGTGAAGGGGTTTCTTGGGCACAGCCAGACACTCAGGGTGTGAGTGAATGCAGGAGACAGCCAGGCTGGATTTAAGGGCAACCATCCAGCTGGCTGCACAGCTCTCCCCATGCCGGGCCTGTGGGGCCAGCGTGGACTGTTATCCCCTCCGAGCATGAGTGTTGCTGCTGCAGCAGGGGAAGGGCCTTGCGTTCTGGTCAGGGTCTTAGGGAAGGACCCTGCACTCCTTGTATCAGCCCAGTGGGGAGGGGGAAGTGTCTGATGTGCGGAATCTGGGCCCCCACTCTGCCCCTGGCACAGCAGTGGAGGAACCCCCTTCCCTGATTTGAAAGAATAGTATAATGACCACACCATGTCCTTTACCCAAAATCACCAATTGTCAACATTTTGCCATAGTTGCATCATCCCTCTCAGGTACATACACACAGTTTTCTCGCATCCATTTGAAAGTAAGCTGCATCCGCCACACTCCTTCACCCCTATACAAATACCACGCAGCTCCTAAGAACAGGGACATCCCTGCATGACCACAGTTAACTATAGTCCGGCCCTCCAACGGTCTGAGGGACAGTGAACTGGCCCCCTGTTTAAAAAGTTTGAGGACCCCTGCTCTAATGCATCAAAATTACAACTAAAATACAGAACAACTATCATCCAGAACTGAGGGAAAACTGGCTAAGTGGAAGTACTACAATTAGGGAGGTATAGAAGAAAGCACACTGAGACTGGTAGGAGGTGCGGAGGCACAGAATGGGCTGGTCCAGCACCCGGGTGTGCCGCTTTTTTAATCGGAAGGGAGATCACCTCTTTGAAGGCTGCCTGGAGGAGCAAGGAGTCCCAGCTCCACACCAGACTCCCAGCCCAGGGTTCCAGAGCTGGGGAAAGAACACCCTACAGGAAGTAAGAACTACAGACTGTAAAAACATGTGCGAATTGGAGCTGAGTGATACACAGGCTGCTAGAGACCCAGATGCTCCTCTTAAAAGGCGGCACCGCGAACTGAATTTACAAGCTCCCACTTGTTCTGAGCTCCAGTGTCAGGCAAGGCTCTGGGGGACCCAGACAGGTATGGGAGAAACTGGACTGTCTGGCATCAGGGAGGAACGCAGGTCCGGCTTTCTTCCAGACGGAGGTGCTCCCAGCAGTCATTGTTCCTGTGCTGGGACCTCCTGGGTGCAGGGCTGACTGGCAGACATTTCTGTTTGCTCTGCCCTGGAGATTCCCTAAGACCCCACACCCACCCAATTTACAACCCCACTCAAGCTGTGCACAGTGGCTTTTGCATATGAATGGCCTGTCCTTTCTCAGCCTAAACTCTATCAACCAAGTGACAGCTGGGTCAGGGAGCCCCAAAGCTATCAATAAAAGGCCGGCACCAACACCATCCTGCCTTTCTGAACAGCTGGGCCTTGTCTGGGCACTTCCAAATCTGATACAAAGAGGAAAAATCTGCAGATCTCTCTGTAGCTCCTGCTGGGTGGCCCTAGGCAGTGGCTCAATTTGCACCTCCCTGGAGATCCAAGAGCCAGTGTACCCAGTGATCAGTGTGAGACCATACCAGATTACAACTCTTCACATCCATAAGTGACACACTCAAGGGGCAGACTCAGTGAGCACCAAAGCCCCACTGAAGCAAGTCCTGCTCCATAAGGGTGTCTCCTGCACAGCA